GGCTGGCCAGGATCCAAACCCCACTGCAGAGGTTGCAGACAGCTTCCCAGTGTGGTGCTCAACTGCCTGTGCCACCAGGGAGGCCCTCAGTTTGTATTTTTTTTACTTTATTTTAAATTTCCAGTTTGTATTTTTAAAAAGTAAGAATGCTGTCCTACATAGCCAAAATAGCACGACTTTTAAGACTACTAATTTTTTAAATTAATATATTTTTTTTACATTGTTGTTTTTGTACAGTATTTGATTTCTCCCCTCAGGTATAGTCCCATAGTTCTCTAAAACTATTAATTTCTTATATTAATTTCTTATCATCAAATACCCAGTTCATATTTGGATCTTTCCAGCTGTCCTAATTGTCAGGAGACAGATATTATTTATCCTGTTCTCCCATCTCTTAGTGAGGCTAAGATTGAGCACTGTATTTAAGGTGATAACATGTCCCCTCCTGCCATCTACACTTATTTCCTCCCTTACCACCTGAAGATAATCTGTATGGCATTTCATTGGCATCCTGTCAACTCTAACTATTGCTTTTTATGCCAGTTGGTATTCTCCCTTGAATCAATAATTTCCTCAGGGGTTGTGAAAAGATGATTTTTTTCCTCATCTATCATTTAATGTATGCTTTTCTAGAAAGCGCTTCTTTCAGTTATCAATTTGTTCTGCAATTCAGTTTCTGCTAGAAAGCCCGGATACATGCTTAATTATTCCTCTTGAATTATTAAATTTTAACATGAGGAGTTGAATGAATAGCCACTCCAAAGAATACCAAATGAGTCCTCCATACCACATTCAACCTGTTCTTTTTAAGCTGCAATGATTTTTAAGGCTTGGGGATCTACAATTCATCTTGTACAACTACAAGAAGTCAGGGCGTGTAATTAGTTGACTTATATACAAAATGTCAGTGTTATGTGTGGTGTTTAGGTGCGTGAGACCCAGTTCACTTCTATGGAAAATGCGCTATGAGAAATAACCAAATCTTGAAAATACTCTTAAATTGAAATTTGATGTTCCATTATACTATGAAATTTGTTTTTATTTCTTTAGCATGCAGAAACCTATATAACATACTGTTTTTCAGGATTAGATGAAAAAACAACCAAACGCCAGTTGTGTTAGCCTCTAAGCATTGATTTTTTTTCATCTGTGATGTTTTTTCATCCTTAGACATTATTCTATTGCTGATTACCTTGTTTTAAAAAATTGGCAGTGTGAGAATTGAATTAGGCTGGTCATTTTGTGGATTTATCTTTTTCTACAAGTCATTTTAAAATTTGACTGATGTATAATTCACAAAATTGAGTAATAGGTCAGAGCCTTTGCATTTCTTCCTTTTCCCTTATATGGACATATTTATAGAGCTCAGGAAAAGGTCACGATACTGATGAAGGGTGAAAATGAGAGTAATCCAAGTTTCAGGAATGGGAAAAAAGGCAATTGAAAGATTAATGTATTCTCAGAAGCCTCTCTGTGGCGGCATCCACCTCATTAAAACACAGCCTAAGCATGGGGTCTGATGGCCAGAACCCAATGAAAATGTAATGTGTAGGGTGCATTTTAAAAATTAAAATCTTTTTTCTTTCAAAGGTAATGTGTATCTTTGTAGCAAAATGAAATATATAGATAATGCAAAGAAAATCACTCTTCATCCCATCATCCAACATAACCATTGTTATGTTACATGAACAACATAGAGAGTTGGAAATACTTTTATTGGTAAATGGAATAATAGCAGCAACAGCAATAATAATGATAGTTCATACTTACTGAACTTCTGCTATGTGTTAGTCAGTTTTCTAAGCACATCCCTCATTCGTTTGTCCCCATCCTGCAAAAGGTATTAACTTCATGATACAGATGAAGAAAATGAGGCACCAGTTACACTGCCTGGTACATAGCAGAACTTAGGATCCAAACGTAACTAACAAGAGCTCAGATCCCAACCCAGGCATCAGATTCTCCTGTCCACATTTTAAACCTACAGAATTCTCAAATTTATTTGAATTTAACAGATGACAACAATACAAATAGAGGAGCTAAAGGAATTTCTGAAATTTTGACAAATTATAACTATAATTTAATTTTTAATTTAATCACATCATTATTTAAATGTAATAGTTTTATTATATATACTCTAGTTATATTTATTATGTAAATATAGTAAATAGTTATATTTATTATATAAATAATAATTATATTTAAATTCTAGTTTTTATTTGAAAAATTATAAAATATTTTTTAATGATTATTGAAAAGAACAATGATCTCCCTAGTTCCTCCCCATTTTTAAAACTGTCCAGTGCCTACATTGTCAGTATGCTCAATTTCCTCCCTGCTGGTCCTCATTTAGTCTTTATGTTGATGTCTTGGCCAGTTATTTGTGTTGTTTGGAGCTCTGAAAGTTTTCTCAGGAAGGAATCTTGGGACCAGCATTGCTTGACTTATATACACATTGATGGAGTTACATTAATAATTGAAAAAATCATTTTAGTGAGACATAAAATCCATGCCTCACATTGTTGCCTTGGATATCTTAAATATGTCATTTTCTTGTGGCATAAAATGTTGTCCGAGTCTTCTGACAATATGATTTTCTTTCTGTATTAAAACACTTGGGGCAGCTCTTCTGCCCACCTGTGCCTATGCAGGCATTTCTTTTCACGAACCTTCTCCCTTTGTCAAGCAGCAGCAGCAACTCTCCCAAGACTGCCCATCTCTGACTATACAGGCATCTCTTTTTTTTTTTCTTTCTCCTTGTCCTAATGAACCTATCCTTTTGAAATGTAAAATCAAAACCAAAAACACTTCGGCTCTCTTTTCCCTGGCTGTCAAAAGCTTTTTCTACAGACTACAGGCCAAATCTTGCTTTCTCTACTTGTTTGTGTACAGCCTGTAGCTAAAAATGGTTTTGTACTTTTAAGTAGTTGAAAAAAAATGTAAAGAAAAGTGCTATGTCTTGGCACATGAAAATTATAAGGAATTTCAATTTCAGTGTCCATACATAAAGTTGTGTTGGAACACATCCATGCCTATTTATATATTATCTGTGGGTTGTTTTATGTTATAACAGCAGAGCTTAGTTATTGAGACAGAGACAATGTAGTCTTTAAAGTTGAAAATGTTTATTATTTGACCATTTATAGAAAAAATTTGCCAACTCTGGTCCTGTAATATACTTCTGAATGGCAGCAGTGTTTGATTATGTGGATATAGCATAATGTACTTAATCAAGTCCTTATTATTGGGCACTTAGATGAACTCTGAGTTTCATTATTATGGGCATGATTTCACTATCAATATCAGAATATATGCTTAATTATTTTATTGGGATAAATTGTTACAAGTAAGATTGCTGGATAAAAGGAGATTTTATACATTTTTAAAGTCTTTGATTGCTATAGACAAATTGGCATCCACAAAGGATATACAGGTTAAAGATCTACTAATAGGATGCAGGTTAAATAAGTTATGGTATGTCCATGCAATGAACTATTTTGCAGAGATTAAAGAAAAATGCTCTATTTTACTGGTATTAAAAATGTATATGTAGGGCCTCCCCGGTGGCGCAGCGGTTGAGCGCTGGGTTGCGAAGCTGCCCGCAGCCTCTGCAGTGCCAGTTTGATCCCCGGCCACTGGTGAGGGTCCCACATAGTGCACAGACCTCTCCTGCCGCCTGCTGCTCCCCTCAGCAGTGTACTTTGGTCCTTCTGCCTACTCTGCTCCCTGCTCTGGCTCTGGTGAATTCTCTCACCCTCCCGCGCTTCTGACTGTACCCAGTGCTTATATAAATAAATAAATAAATCTTTAAAAAATAATAATAAAAATAAAAATGCATATGCTGTTAAACATCCTGGTTTCTCACATAGAACCTGATAACTTAGCATAAGTTGCATATTTTAAGCAGTGTTTCCCAGCTCATCCCTCCACACATCTCTACGACCAGATGCTCCTGACTTTCCTAGTCCCTCTCCTGTTGCACAACCTGAGGCAGATGATTAGCCACTGTTCTTGTTTCTGTTTTTCTTCTTCTAGCGTCCCTTCCTATGCTTGTGGAACCATAAAACATCAGAGGAGTTAAGGAGTTTAGAAATAATCTAGTGCAGAGTTTGCCATACTTTTTCTGTAAAGGGCTAGATAGTAAATACTTTTGACTTAGCAAGCTACTGGGCCTCCATCAAAGCAACTCAGCTCTGCTGTTGTAGCATTGAAAACAGCAGTAAACAATATACAAACAAATGGGTGTGGCTGCATGACAATAAAACTTTATTTACAAAATCAGGTGGCTTGCTGGATTTGGACTTTAGACCACCATTTGCTGACCCCTGGTTTAGCCTAACCATTTTATTTTACAGATCAGGAGACTGAGCTCAGATTTCACTCTTTCCCTTGATTTATAAGTAAACTAAGCTCATTTAATTGCGTTCAAGATGTACTTACCTTATGTATAATTCCCGGTTTTAGCAAATGATATTACAAGAAGCTGTTAATATAGGGTCTTTCAAAACTCTGAACTGCATTAAGAGTTTTAGATTCTTTTATCGGTTGCCATTCTACCTGGATGCTAGTTGACTTTTTGATTCTGCATCTCTGGAGCAATGGTGACATCTTAGTGGTAAGGAAATAGAGGTAGAAACTGTTGAAGTTAGAGAAGCATGCCAACCTTTTATTCTTCTTTGAAAGTCTTTGATTCCAATTTTGGAGGTGTCCCAATGTGTTTATCTCTTGAGAGAGCCATTAAACATCATATAACAATTTCATGCTTTCCCCTCTTTAATGTTAATTTCTGATTGTTTTGTTGCACTAAATGTTAAAATAGATGAAGATTCTTAGGTTAGAAAAAGGAAAAAAAAAAAAACAAAGACCAAAAAAACATAAAACGTAACAGGAAAACATACGCCATACACTCATGGTTCCTTTCCCCCCAACCTAAAAATAAACATTGACTGTGCGTACTCAGAGAAACACTGACAGTGTTTGTGTTTTTTCCTCCCTTCCAGCACTGGAAGAAGTATGACATCTATGAGAAGCAAACCAAAGAAGAGACTGACTCAGTAGTGCTGATAGAAAACTTGAAGAGAGCCTCTCAGTGATTGAGGATAATTTATTTTAACCTTCAATGTGACCTTGTGAAGATTCGTACCATTCTCCATTTGTTATCTGGCAACTGGTTAAATGGAAACTGAAACTACTGGACCATTTAAAAACAGGCAGCTCTTAAGAGCCAAGGGTCTTTGAGTACAAGGAACTAAACATAATGGGCCCTTTGGAGAAGAGAGCTGTGTTATAGTCTCTTTAAATTATAAAAGCAGGCATGCCTTGCCTAGGCTCAAACTAGAGCACAAAGCAAAAAGTGATGATGGCAGTAGAGTTACTCTCATCAAGACTTCTGACAGTTTCCCGAGGGTCTATGCCTGCTTTGTATTCTTTGTGTCAGAATATGTGACAATTTTCTTTGTGGAGGAATTCATTTTGGGCACAAATGCTTAACATGAACCTTGAGTCACAGAGAACATCTAGCAAACTGTTATCTGTTGTTTGGGGTCCCATTGAGCGAAGTCTGTGGCTGTTAAAACTCTTAGCAGTCTGGAGTCATCATTGCTCTCAGCAACATTTCCCCGTGCTTTGAAAGGAACAGGCATCTGTGTCCGATGGTGATGACAACAGAAAAAACAGAGGCAGCTTCTGCCTCGTCTGGGCCTTCCAAGGCCAGTGCAGGCTTTTCTCAACAGAATGGCTCTTCGGGTATTAGAGCTGGAAGCACGCAGTCTCTAATCTCTTTCTTCAGCCTCTGCTCCTCAAACTGAGTATTTACTATGTGTCTAGATTGTGCTAGGCCCGCAGGTGTGAGGTGGGGATTCTTTCAAAAGGGTTGAAATCTAGGTGGGCCTCCGAAGTTCTTACCATTTTCTTTATCTTCCCATGGATCATTTTTCAGACCTTTCAACTCCCCAGTACTCACACCTTTCTCCCTGCCCTTTGCCCTTCACCTTTGACAGTGTATTGTGACTTTTCACCTTTCATTAGATAATAAAATAAATAGAAATCTGCTTAGAACACCTCGGAGAGCAGGGGGTAATTTGCATCTCAGGAAAAGTGTGAATAGACTGAGAAACAATGACTAATTCTTGCATACTTTATAACTTCTGTGTGCATCTGCATTTGTTTGAAAAGGTTCAGCTTTTATAGATTTTTCTAAGCATTTTCCAAACAGAAAGAAGGTATTATCTTCACTTAGAATTTTTTTTTGTTTGCTTTAGGAGACAAAAGAATATTTATATTCTTTTCCATTCTTTAGAGCATGAACCCTAGAGTTCTTTTTAGTCTGTAACATGCTCTTACATATATTAAAGTTCTCAGGCATCATTCCTAAATAATTCTCATTATGTAAAATAAGTTTCAAAATAGGGATCGAGGTTAAACTAAATGTTTTTCCGAAATCAGTTCTGTCAATGAGTTGATGTTTAACTTTCCACAAATATCTGCCCGGATTTTCTGGTTGGTCTCAATCAGGTCATCCGCATCTCAGTTGGGACATCTGAAGGCTCTTGTTTGAAGGTTCTTTCCACCATCCATGGCTCTGCTCCTTGCTCCCCTCAGGTTTGGCAATGCATAGTGACACCAGGCTATGTAGGTCTCCAGCATCACGTCCCTGTTCAGGGTCTTCCTAGCATCACCTGTGTCCTGCCACTCTTCCCAGGTGAAGTTCACAACCATATCCTGAAATGTCAGTACTCCCAGAGACTTATTCATTGTTGCTCCTAGAAACACATAGAGGACTCTGGAAGCTGAGCTGGGAAAGATATCAAATGGCACAGAGTCACAAAAGATCTAGTGTGGCTCACTCCTAGGTCCTCGATACCACTGTCCAAAACTCCCTGCATGTCAGCCCCCTCAGCCTAGCTCAGGTCTCCTGAAAGGTGGGCCAGACTGCCAGCATCACTCAGTCTTTCACAGCTTCCAGTGGAGGTGGTATCACCCATTGTTGTTCACTCTGGACAGAAGCATCAAAAATTGTTTGGCCGTGCAAAGCTAGGATTGTGTACTTCCTGTGGCTCTTCTGCTTTGCTCTGAAGAGCTGGCCAGCAGGCTCAGATCACAGGTCATCCACAGGTAGCATTCTCATTCAGATGCGTGTGCTGCCCCTTTATGCTTCATCAGAGCTACATTCAGGGACACAGTTCACACTGAACCAGGAGCAGCTGAGGAGACCTCTTCCTTCAGTCCACAAATGGTTCTTAGTAGGTTTCATGTTTGTCTTGAAAGCCAGCATTCAAGGCTCCAGTGTTGGCATTTTTTATTCCCTGCATATGTTAAGATTACATTTTTATCAAACGCCACAACATATCCATGTTCTCTACTACTGCTTCCTCCAAATTTAAGGAAATATGAGAATGAGAAGTCTCTCCCAGCATTTCTTTAGACACACACACACACACACAGAGACTCAGATTCCTTGTAGGAACTTGACAACATTATATCACAAGTACTCCAAACATTCACCCTTTCGCATTAATGAGATGAAGCTACTTGCAATTCTTGCTCTCAGGAATGGAGAGCAGAGGTCCCCGCTCTCCACAGGTTGGGGCAAAAATGGCGACTTGCGTGCACCATGGCAGGGGAGCACTGTGCCCTGGTTTTTCTGAGGAAATATGGGGTGTAGCAATGGTAGATGTAAAGGTGTTTCTTCTTTGTGCTTTAATTTTTGAGGCTGCACTGAGACTAGGACACAGGCATAGTGGATTTTCCACTTTGTTCTACTGTTTGCTAGAAAGAACATTTGGTTTCCCTATGTGGGAATAAGATTACTTCCTAACCAGGTCTTTTATAATGCAGGGAAACAAAACAACTAAATGCCTCACCCAAAACCATTTTTACTGTTAACCTATTTAGAGTGCAACGAGGGGGTAGTTTGGTATTCCACTTCCCAAAGAATCGTTGATGCTGACAGTCATGCAGCCAAGGGATGGGGAAATTGTATTTTGTTTTCATCTTCCTCTCTTAGCAGTAAAATAGTTGAGATAAAAGGGGGCAGTGAATTATGAGGGTGTTTGTGGCTGTTTTATAATTGCTGAGAAGTGATCCACAGGTCTGGGGAACTCATCAATACTTTTTAATACACCTGTGGGTCTCCTGTTCACCTGTAGGAAACGAGTACATTTATTTACTATTTTATATCTAACCTACATGGATTCCCCTACCCCCCCCATACCTAAGTAAACCCACTCTAAGGATGGTCATTCTTAGTCTGTCTTCATATAAGTTTTTTCCTCTGGGCACTGAAGGGATCCATGAAACATGTTAATAACATTTTTGGTAATAAAGTCTTCAACTAAGGATCATATTGTTTAATTTCTTATAAAAAAGCTTGAATAAAATAAATATTGTCTTTTTGTATGTCACCAAGTGTTTTCCTTTGGTCTTATTTTGGGAAAAATGTTGTGAGGAGAGGGTGCAGGAAGAAAAATGGAGTTAAAAGAATAGATATTGTGGAAATTTTTCAAAATAGCTATTTTATCTAGTTTCTTACTCGCTTCCCTTCTTTTCTCAGTATAGCTATGTTTTCTGGTAAGGTCATGAACTTGCTTTGAATATTAGCACAAACTTTGTAAGTAGTAACTAAAGGGACCTATGTATTTGATAAATTAGTTATAATAATGGAAATGGAGAAACTGGTCCTTTCTAATATTAAGGTTAAGACAGAACACAATACACTTAAGGAGATTGTCCTGGGATACATGTTGGGGGAACTCTAGTTACAAATTAATCATATCACCAGATTAGATCTGTGACTAAGAAAATCAGCCTCTAGCTCTCCCCTTAAGAGATGGTGTTGTTATGGTTTTATATTTTCTATAACCACAGGAAAATTTGAAAATCATGACAAAGACCACATTTGTTAATTACCCTAAATCTTTTCAGGATCCAAACCCCTGGGTGTGGGCAGGGTGTGCTGATCTTCATCAGGTTACTTTTGTCACAATCTAGAATGATGCAAGAAGAGTCTTGTAACCCATCTCCAGGTAAGTATAGTTTTGTTTTATTTTTAACTAGGAAGCTTAATACATTAACACTTGGTATGTAAAACATCGGAGTCCTCATCTGTAAAATGAGGAGCTTGGACTAGATTACTAGTTCTGGCATTCTGTTCAATAAAAACTCTCATGACTTGTTTTATATATCAAGTCATATAACAACTACATTTGATGCATACATTAACACTGAGTATTAGGACAAAAAAACACTTAACTGAAGAGGTTGTATATTTGTATGTGATCTATGCAAAACAAATTCCTGTAGTCATAAATAATGTTCACCTCATCTTAGAGAGGAGCCAGAATGATGTAAGCACATTTGCTTTCCAGAAAAATAATCTATTTTGCCATTTCCATGAAATCCTGCTTTTTTTTTTTCACAAGCACAAGTTAGTGCTCATGTGAGAAGAATATTATACAAGTTAAATAATAGTCATTTTAGAAGAAAACAAGGAAACAACAACATTTATTTCAGTTTTTTTCAACCCTAATGATTAGATCAGGCAAGAAATTTTATGTAGATATTATAGCTAAATTTTGGTGGTTTTACTTTAAGTAAGGGAGGAGTTGGACATGCTAGATATTTTTGACAAAATCCCCAAGATGATTTCTTCCTGAATGTTCTTTGGCTTTTAACTGTCTTTTTTAATAATCACATCTGTCGTTTACCATTAGCAACAGGAAAATATTTCACTGCTAGTTTCCAGCATTTATTAGGTAGACCATTACATAAGAAGACAAAGTGAATAGTTATTGAGTGGCTGCTGTGTGCAAGTTACTTGTATTATTTCACTACATTCCCATGTGAATCCCATAGATAGGTTCTATTATTATTTTCGTTTTACAGATACAGAAACATAAAATGATTGTGTTATGTGTGCAAGGTCACACATAAGTATGCCTGACTTGAAAGCCTGTATAATACAACCAGTGATGTATTTATCTTTTCTAAGGAGACAGCTACCTAAAGAAGAAACATCTCATTTAAAATTATTGCTAAATTGCTTATCAACTGGAAGACCGAGAATTTCAATCACCTAATTGCAAAGTGAGCTTTTTAGAGTGTCTTAAGATTCATTTGTGTATTCATTCATCTGTGTGCTAGATACTAGGAATTTAGAAGTGGCTAAGATTTGGCTTAGCATCAGGTGGTTAGATAAGGGGGAGGCTATTTTGCACAAGGGAAGCAAAGCTCCATTAGAAGTTTGGGTAGGTAGTTCTCCCTGTCTGCGACTGGTGCCCCATCAATAAAGTGAAGATATTAGACTTAGTGATGTATCATCCCATTTAAGATTCATAACGGTGGCCATAAACTTTGCTACGAATGTTGACAACCACGGGCACCATGGTTGTCTGCACGTCAGACTCCTCATCTGTAAAATGAGGAGCTCGGACTAGATTAATTGTACTAATTCTGACATTCTGTTCAATAAAAACTGAGATGACTTGTTTTACATATCAAGAAACAGTGTTTATGGTCACCTCCTACTCTTGCTACAGAATGTAGCTAGCTATTAGCAATAACTGTGGGAAATAGCCAGAGGCTCTTTAATGCAATGGTAAGAACAAAGGAATCAATACTTTGGATGAGCCCTGTGTCCTCCAAATTAGAATTTTCACAAGGATTCAGTCATGGTCATGCCTAACATTTTGTAACATTTTGCAGATCATAGATCATTTTCCCTAGAAACATAAAAATGGACTTTGTATAATATAGATTGCTTATTAACAACTGCATTTGATACATCACCTAAAAAGGAATTAAAATTCAATTCCTGAAAATTTGGTCATTGAGTTTAACTTGTTGGTTTTTATTTGATCAAAGTAAAATATGTACATAATTGTAAATGGGTTTATTGTGAAAAAAAAAAAAAAAAGTCAGTTCCCTGCCCCACCTGCCCTTACCCCTACCTGACTCCAGCTCCCAGAAAAGATGCTCACACTGTAATTCCTGAAACCTGTGAAAATATTACTTTACATGGCAAAAAGGCCTTTGAGAAGTAATTAACATTTCATGGGGAGATCATCCTGGATTATCAGAGTGGGCTCACGTGAGCCTTTTAAAAGCAGAGAGATTTCCCTGGCTGGAAGCAGAAGAGGAGAGATTCAAGGCACAGGAAAGACTCTGAAGTGCTGTCACTGGTTTGCGGATGGAAGAAGGCATGTAGAAAGGTCTAGATGGAACTGGATACAGTGCTGCCAACAACCTGAATGAGCTTAGTAGAAGATTCTCCCTCAGAGCTTCCAGATAAGAGCTGGGCTGACTGACCCTTGATTTTGACCTTGTGAGACAGAATTCAGTGATATCAAGCTGGACTTCTGTCCTGCAGAAGGGTGTCTTATCAATCATTTTTATCATATTTTAGCTATTTCATTTTGCATGCAACTCTTTACTTCTGAATAATACCTTAATACTTAAGGCTACTTAATTTTTTTTTTTTAGGTTTAGAAATGATGTATTTCTAAATTTCCGCTCCAGTAGATGAAAAACTTCCTTTCTTATATGCCCCCCTATAAACACACACACACACACACACACACTAACACACACACACTAACACTATACATGCACTCACACTTCTTTTCCACAAATACAAAAAAATTGTGGTTAAAATATTCAATATTTGCATTAAACCATCTGATTATTATTCATAGTTGCTTCATGCAGAGTACCATTAATTGTACTTTATTTTGTTTTTCCCCAGTTGTCTCTTTTTGTTGTTGTTGTTGTTTTTTATTTATTTATTTATTTATTTATTTATTTATTTATATATGCAAATATTGGGTACAGTCAGAAGCACGGGAGGGTGAGAGAATTCACCAGAGCCAGAGTAGGGAGCAGAACAGGCAGACTGACGAAATACACTGCTGAGGGGAGCAGCGGGCACAACAGGAGAGGTCTGTTGTGCCATGTGGGACCCTCGCCGGTGGCTGGGGATTGAACCTGCACTGCAGAGGCTGCGGGCAGCTTCACAGCCCAGTGCTTAACCGCTGCGCCACCAGGGGAGGCCCTGTCTCTTTTGTTTTGTATTCCTATGTGCCTGTCAAGTTCAGCCACAAACTTTTTGACAGCACCATAAAACTCCACCCTTTATGGTCAAATATGTTAGGTATTCTGTGAGTGCCATTTCTTTTTCATGGCAACAACCTCGGCTGTGTTTGCTACCCTTCAGTCCATTCTGGAATGGTTGTCCTCTAGGTCTGCCATCTAGCTGTCATCTTGGGAATTCCCTTTGCTTTTTGACCTCTGTTAATTTCTGTTTCTTGCTTTCTACTCTCGTTTTGCTGGTCTTAGAAAGATTCATATGGGACGTAATTTGAACAAAACCTGTCTATGTTTGAATATATCTTCACACATGATTAAATTTTTTTACTAGGTGAATAATTCCTAATTGGAAACAATTTCCTTTCCAGATTTTGAAATTTTTATTCCAATATGTTCTTGCTTCTAATGTTGATTTTGAAAAGTCTGATTCCTATTGATCTCTAATTTTCTGTGTGTAACTTTTTATTCTCTGCAAGTTTTAAAGGTTTTCACTTGGTCCCGGATGTTTTAAAATTTAATAATGATATGCCGTCCGATGCATCTTTGCCCATCTACCTGGCTGAGCCTTTGTGAGGCCTTTCAATCTAAAAGCTCATCCTTCACTTTTGAGACATTATTTTATCTTCTTTCTCACATAATATCTTCCTTTCTATTTTCTCGAACTCCTATTAGTAGGTTATTTGATATCCTGGGCTGATTCTGTAATTTTCATATCTTTCCCTCATGTTCCATTTAATTGTTTTTTGGTTGTACTTTTGGGGAGGTCTCCTTAATTTGATCTGAGTCTCAGTTTTCAAAGGGTTTTTGTGAGGTGTTGATGAAATAAAACATGGACAGTGAACTTCAATAAACAGTAGATGTGATTGAACATATTGTTATTCTGGAACCAGTTTCTTCTTCTTATGCGAAAATGACAATTCTGGTATCAGCAATATACCAGATCATATTATTTACCTTCATTGTACTAAATTTGTAATGTCATAACATTTTCTACTTGCACTGTTTATAGAAAAACAATTCTATAGTATAAATCCAGTTAGCAATAAGAGAATTAGAAGCTTAACTCTTATTCACACAGCACTGTTTACAATAGCTAAGCTTTGGAAACAACCCAAATG